AGCTGCTTAGGATGGGGCTGTCAAATCCAGCCCATCTGCTGCAATCATAATCTGTCTCAACCGAACGGTTCTGACAAATCTCCGCCTGGAGCCTGAGTTGGGGAAGCCAGTGGGTGCGGGGAGGGGAGAGGAGGAGGGGGAGATGGGAGACTAGGTCCTGGTGCCCAGAGAGGAGGGCCCAGAGGCTCCTATTGTCTGCCCCAGCAGAGGAACTGAAAGGGGAAGTGGGGATCCCAAAGAGGAAATGGTGCTTTCCTTTCCCACTTCCTAATGAGCAAAACCAGTCCATCCTGGCGGCCCTGGCATACTCACCCCACACCACCCCTCACCGCCCACTGCCGTGTCTGTAGAAGAGATTTCTGCTAATGAACTAAGCAAACAGGTCCTGTAATCTTATCATCAGGGGAACCCAGAGACTGGCACCCATACCCAAATTACTGTAACTGGCAGGTGAGGGCTGGAACTAACAGTCTTCTGTCTGGAGTCAGAAGTTGGTTCCCAAGCACATTTGGGAATAAAGCTCTGGAGGGAGGACTGGCATGTAATTGGCAAAGAAGCTGGGCCCTTTGCCTCCTGTTGGCTTTTGGAGACAAAATGAAAATCTGCTTTGGGTAAGAACATGCAGAACTAGTTTAGCTTCATTTTGAATTAAAATAATTCTCTCTTTTTTTCATTTTTCTCATGGAACTATTCTTTTTAAAGCAGTGCTATTTTATTAGGGAACAATTTTAAAAACTGATACTTTTAAAATTGAAATAGTTTATTCAATAGTGCAATAACACACTTTGAACTATTTTTATACACCACTTCAATGTAACCACATGTTTCTACTGGTGAGAGGCTTATAAGGATTACGGGAATTTTTTTTTAATAATAAAAATAACAGTAGTCCTAGATACACATAAACAAGTCTTAAAGCATAAAGAATATGGCCAATTGGATTGTGCCTGGTTTTGTACATTCTTCTCAAGTGCTGGGAAAAGTTCAATTACTCTGACTGACAGTATTTGTTGGGGAATAATTTGTTGGGTAAACAAATCACCAGTTGAAAGTTGAAGGGGAAAATTTGTAAGCCATTTATTCAGATAGGTGCACAAGGTAGGCAGAAATAAGTATACTTTACTGTAGAAATTGAATTGAGTTTAATTTAAAACTCTATTCAGATCATTATTTTGCTTTATGCTGTAGCGGAGAACTGTGGCCAAGCCACATTAAGCACCCACTTACCTAGGCAGAGACTGTGCCTTCTCCTTATTTTATAGCCCAGTGGTGCTTACCACAGCACTCTGGGCTCTCCATGAATACTGATGGTCTGAAGTCTCCATTTATATCACTGTGACTCGATACGTGAGGTATATGGAGGTTCAAGTGTTACTTTCTCCAGTAAGTAAATATAAGTCAAGGACAACTTCCTAGATCTGATTGTGCTTGTCGAGGTCTAGGCACAATCAGATCTAGGGGTGGGACACTGAGGGGAGATGTGAAGGGGGGGTGGCGGGGTAGGTTTAGAGGACAGATCATTGGGTCAGGTCCAACAGGCTAACTTAAGGACTTTGGTTTTTACTCTGAGTGGTGTAGGAGGACACGCACACAGAGGGTTGACAGCAGAGGAGTTTCATGTCTGACTTAATGGATCACTCGGCTATCATGTTGTGAATTCACTGCAGGAGGAAAAAGAAGAAAGGAGGAGATCTATGATTAGCCTATTGCAGGAATCTACCTGACAGGGCAAGGCATGGACAGGGAGGGCCAGAGCAAGAAAGATAGTGAGAACTAGTGGCAATCTGGGATTGTTTTGAATTTAGAGCCAATAGCATTTGCTCAGAACAGGGGGTTTGGGGGAAAAAATCAAGGATTAAATAATAACTGCAAGTGTTGGGCCTTAGCAGTTAAAAGGATGGAGATGGTATTGACTGAAATGGTAAGACTAAACAGGATAGAGAGCATGTTGGTGGAAGAAACAAAGGTCCAGTTTCGGATGTGTTAAGATTGGGGTGCCTACTAAGTTAAATTTTAAAAATAGTTCATTTCTGTAAAGTTCTTAGAAGAGTCCCTGACTGTATTAAGCACCATATAAATGCTTTGGGTGTTGAGCTTGCATTACGGGGTTTGTGTTGATGGTTGTTATTACTGTTATTGATGTTTATCAACCAGAATGACATATTAAGTGTGCAGCCAAATATATATTCAAGTACTGTGTTCAGGGTACCAGTCCAATGTAGAGATGTAAATTTGGGGATTGTCTAAGTATAGATGGTTAAATTAAATCCATCAGATGGTGTAGGCCCATGGTCGGCAAACTGCGGCTCGCGAGCCACATGCGGCTTTTTGGCCCGTTGAGTGTGGCTCTTCCTAAGCCTTAGGAGTACCCTAATTAAGTTAATAACAATGTACTTACCTATATAGTTTAAGTTTAAAAAATTTGGCTCTCAAAAGAAATTTCAATCGTTGTACTGTTGATATTTGGCTCTGTTGACTAATGAGTTTGCTGACCACTGGTGTAGGCCATTAAGGATGTGAGTAGTTAGAAAAGAGATGTTCAAGGAGTGAATCCTGAAAGGCACTCCAACTGTACAAAGTCAAGACAGTGAAAATGAACCCCAAGTGGCAGCCAGTAAGAGAGAAGGCAAACCAGGAAAATGGACTCCCTGAGGAACCCTGTATAGAAGGTATTTCAAGAGGAAGGGAATGATTGTCTTCACAGATATGATTGATTATCTCCATAGAAAAACCCAAAAGAACACAGAAGAAAGCTATGATAGAGTTTATCAAAGCTACTGGAGAAACTGACAATTGTCTGTTTACAATATAACATCCAGGTGTCCCAGCACCTAGGTAAGGATCAGGCACAAGATAAATATTCAACATGTGCTCAGTCAAGTAATGAATCATAAAGGGATTAAATGCCTTATGCTCCAAAGTATGCTGCAAGACTAACAAAATCAAGCATGACAATGATGTAGAGCAACTTAAATTCTCCTACATAGATGGTGGGAATGCCAAATGACACCGAAAATTTGGAAAACCAGTTGACAGTTTCTTGTCAAGTTAAACATACACTTAAAAAACCATCCAGTAACCCCATTCCTGGATATTTACCCAAGAGAAGTAAAAAGGTGTTCACACTAAGACTTGCACAGAAATGTTTATAGCAGCAGTATTCATAATATCCCCAAACTGGAAATATCCCAAATTTCTATCAATTTGTAAATAGAAAAACAAGCTGTGGTAGATCCATCCATACCATAAAAAACTACTCAGCAATAAAAAGGAACTGATTGATAAATGTAACAACATGCATGAATCTCAAAATTACTATGCTAAGTGAAAGAATATACTTGATGACTAGCTCTTATTTGATTCCATTTGATTCTAAAAAACTCTAGAGACAAAAGGCAGTTGAGTTGGCTGGGGCTGGGAAGGGGATTGACTAGCAGTGGTTCTCAACCTGTGGGTCGCGAACAATGAAAATACATCCTGCATATCAGATATTTACATTACGATTCATAACAGTAGCAAAATTACAGTTATGAAGTAGCAACAAAAATAATTTTATGGCTGGGGGTCACCACAACATGAGGAACTGTATTAAAGGATCGCGGCATTAGGAAGGTTGAGAACCACTGGACTACAGAGAGGCACAAGAGAATAACTTGGCATGTGGGAAATATTCCATATCATGATGGTGATGGTGTCACAAAACTGTATATTTGTCAAACTCATCAAATTGTTCACATGAAAACTGATGAATTTTATTGCATGTAAATTAAACC